GACACCTCAAGCACCGGGGATGATTAACACTAGAGACCCTTTCACGCACCCGAGGTAGAGATATTGCCTGGGGAGATTAACTCCCTGTGAATGAGATTAATTAATGTTATGCTTCAAAGCCAAAGGACAGGAAAATGAAAAACCTTGGGTATATTTTTATCTGAGATTTTGAAATATTTTTGAAACGTTTTTATCTGAGATTTTGAAATATATCTCTCTTGAAAGTTTAGCTATCCAATAAATAGCTTCAAAATCTTTTGGGCTTCGGGGCGGATATTACCAGAAGTCCAGGTCATAGAAGACCATCTCGCCTGACGGCACTTTTCCCATTGCACTTAAAAGGGAAAAGGTCAGGATCAATGCCTAATGCTTGAAGCTTCCTAATGAAAGGGAAATGTCGAGTGAACTTGGCAATTTCTGACACAACTCGCCGTTATCCACGATAGCTGTTACCTAGCCGTTACGATGGGAGTTAAATAAAAAAGGTTATTGCTCAATAAAATAGTCACAGTATCATTATTATAGGTGGAAATAAAGGTATAAGATTTTTTTTTTAAGTGAAGAGGGTCTTCTTGCCTTGAGAAAAAGCGTTTGAAATTCTGGGTTCTCGATTAACAAGGAATCTGCAAAAGACTTGTACGTGTTTCTTAATTGTCTATTCGTATGTTGGTGTTTGTATCTGTGCACATGCGTCAAAACGTTCCAGAAACACCTGCGCAATATAATTTATGTAAATAGATGCTACTCGTTATTTTCCAGAGAAATCAAATAAAAAAAAAATGAGGTAATTCAGAAGCAAACAAAAAAATTGTAAAAATACCGAAGTGCATACATTTCCGCAGAGATGCCGGAACTTGGAAATTTTGCTACTAGCAAGGGATTTGTAAACTCTTCTTTTCTCTTTCTTGTAATGTTTCTGAATTGTTGCTTCAGGTTTTTACGCATATTTTTTATGAAAATAATATAAATTGTCTTTTTGTGTGTGGTGGTGGTGGGAGAATCAAAGGAATCTTTGATCACAGATCTTGCAAGATTTTTATGACTCTGAAGTGAGGTTTACATATTTCTTTGAAACTATTCCTACAGAATCATTTTGAGAAATATAGTAAAATATCCCGAAAAAGAAAAACCTTCGTGCACGCAAAAAAAAAGGTATGGCGTTCGCATTCAAATATCTTCTGCCTCACAAAAAATGTGCCTAAAATAAAAGAACTCTAAATAAAAACTTAACTGTTTTTTCGTCATTTTTCTGTTGCTATCGAATGGGTTTTCATATGAATCTTGATATTAAGAAAAATTAGTAGTCATCAGTAGATATCAAGTGACAACATGTCTCGTCAAATCACTATGCCGTATTCGAGAATATTTTAGGAATGCTGTGGTCTGCATCGTATTGTGGCGAAGATGTGCAACAGAATTGCAATGGACGAGGTTGTTGTTGGTCGACAGTTTGTAGGGAAGAGGGAGTTACGACTTGTTGCTGATGAATATGAAGTCGTTTAAAAGAAATTAATTCAACGCGTGTGAGATTTTCATGTATATATATTTTTATAAAAACGACATAGTTCACAAAAGAAGGAAAACATATACTTGCGCGTTTACAGATAACTCAAAAAAGAAAGAAAATTTATCTATGTGATTAGCTCTATTGTGCATGATGCGCTACGTGGTTGTGTGAAATTAAACCATCGGCTTGCCCGGGAACTAAGATGTCTCCCCGGAAAGGAAGAGTTCTGTGTTGTAGCTACTACACCCCGAGCAAAAAGAGAAAGAGAGCATTTATGCCCTTTGATAGTCACCTTGTTTACCAGGGCGCCGGCCATAGTCCTGAATAGAACATCACCTAGTGGACGTCATGTAAAACTAAGTTAGAGTAATCCTCCTGATACTACTCCTGTCATGGAACATTAAAATTTCCAATGCATAAGCCGTTGATTGGTATGGCAAGCTTATAGGCACTTGAATCGATCTCATTAGATTGATTTTTCTCGCCATAACTTTCTTTTAATTATTTTATTTTCTTATAATAAATCACCTTATATGCAATTTATTTTAACTGATTTTCTATGTAGAAAGCTAACTGACTTTTGAAAGGATATTTATTTTTTAAATTAGTAACTGTTTAATTTTTTAAAATTTCAGCTTTCTTAAATAGCGGGTATTTTTAGTTGTTTTGATAATGTTCGTTAAAAGACAGAAAGAAAGAGTGGACGCTGAACGAAACAATGACAGTGGGTTTTTTTTTTCTCTTTCGCATAGAACCTACTCTTGAAATATTGTTAGAATTTTAAAATTGTAATAAATAAGCATATTAATTTTTCAATATGAAACATATTTTTTTAATTATTTTTCAATAGGAAAAATAATTTTTTTTTTATTATGTTTTCAATATGAATCTTCATTTTCAACATGAAAAAAAGTTTTTTTTATTAATTCTCAATATGAAATGTTTTTAAATTATCGATGTACAAGTTTTTTTATGCGTCGTCTGAACAACGTATAGTGTAATGGATGTCAGCACAGAAAATGGAATCGGTAAACCTTTTTTCAAATTCCGGGTTAATTTGTGGCATTCACTTTCTCGTTAATGCTCTTGAGAAAATCATGAATCCTTAGCTTTTGCCACTAGGTAGGGACGGAGTAATAGAGTAGACTGGGATCTCCAGCCTTGTGTGGAAACCAAGTCAAAGAGAAGGAAACGTGAATTATCAACCGTGGAGAAAGCAACAGGAAACTACTACACCTTCCTTCCAAAAAAAAAATAATGCTAAATTCATTAAAGCAAAAGAAACTGTAGCCATGACCGTCTCCGCTTTGAAGTGAGATGGCACTAAAAGCCACTTGAATAAATTAAAAAGCATAATTTTAATGATAGATAGATAATGAACATCCGGTGATAGATAGATAGATAGATAGATAGATAGATAGATAATGAACATCCGGTGATAGATAGATAGATAGATAGATAGATAGATAGATAGATAGATAGATAGATAGATAATGAACATCCGGTGATAGATAGATAGATAGATAGATAGATAGATAGATAGATAGATAGATAGATAGATAATGAACATCCAGTGATAGATAGATAGATAGATAGATAGATAGATAGATAGATAGATAGATAGATAGATAGATAGATAATGAACATCGGTGATGATAGATAGATAGATAGATAGATAGATAGATAGATAGATAGATAGATAGATAGATAATGAACATCCGGTGATAGATAGATAGATAGATAGATAGATAGATAGATAGATAGATAGATAGATAATGAACATCCGGTGATAGATAGATAGATAGATAGATAGATAGATAGATAGATAGATGATAGATAGATAGATAATGAACATCCGGTGATAGATAGATAGATAGATAGATAGATAGATAGATAGATAGATAGATAGATGAACATCCGGTGATAGATAGATAGATAGATAGATAGATAGATAGATAGATAGATAGATAGATAGAAAAAAAAACTCTTCATAGACACGAACGTCTTAGACTGGCGTCGGGTCGCAGAATGTTAATGTTAGACGTTTACTTATAAGGAAACTTATGAAGTTCGGGTAACGCTCGAAGTTGCTGGTTAGTAATACTGGAAGGGAAACACTAGAACAAAAGGATCAGTAGAAAAGGGTTTAAACACATGATAACATGGATTGAGAACAGAGTAGTTCTGTACGATTGAAAGCGCTTCGCGTTAGCGACCCACGTTTTGCCACCGTTCCGTGAGCAGATGTTCTACGCATAGCGGCTAGATGAGTTAATGTTTCAATAATACTGTAGAAAAGGTTAGACAGTATTTCTACACAACAGAAACATTCGACATTCAGCCAGTTCTACTCTCGGTTGAAAATTATAAAATCTTTTTTTCGAAAAACAATTTTTCAAGAAAATAGGTATCACGTGTCCAGTAGCTGTGACCGCTCTTTCCAGTATTGATGGTTGGCTTCCTTCCTAACCTTCTATTTGAAGCAGTTTGCAATGTCACTATCATATCTTTATTATGTCGTTATTTTCTCTTCGAGTTACATGTGCTATCCATTTTAGTTGTTGCTGCTCTTGGTAGTCCTCAAGTGATGTAATTTCTGTTATTTGGTACAGTTCTTTGTTTGTGATTCTCTAGCGTTAGTCCACGAGGTCCGAAGGAGAGTTCTCTCTAAGACCTATAAGCTTCATTCTCTGGAAGCCATATTAATTATTTATCTGAAAAAAACAAACAGTTGTATACCGCTGACAGTTTAGATATTTCTAAACGGGTTTGGCACTATGCCTAACATCCATAAGAAAGTTTCGTTCTGAAGATGATATTTAAGAACATGACTCGAGTTTTCAGGTGAATGTTTTGGTTTTTGTAGCAATTTATGATGTTGGGCGAAACTAACTTTGGCGCACCCTATTCTATGTTCAGTTTCCTTATATCATATACTAAATTTGGTATATGTTGTGGTAGGATCCACCTAATTTACACAGGGAGTACCGACCATATAAATATGGATGGTACCGGGAAGACGGGGGGAGGAATCAAGAGATTCAATCCAGAGACTCTGCCCGACTGCGACTAAGTCAACACATTCTCCAGGAACGGTCTTCCCAAGAATATACAAAAGACTATATGTAAATATTGTGTACACTTTCTTGTTTCAATACATTTTGTTCTAAGTACATTTTGTGTTGTATTATTATTCCATGCATTAGTCAAGTTTCAACACTTATCCATACACCGACGTATTTGAAGTGTTTAGTATTTACCAATTCCATATCTTGAGTTTTTTATGATGGATTCAAGGTAGGTGCCATCACAGCTTTCATTCCAATTCCAGATCGTTACTGGTTTGGAAAGGTTTATCTAGAGTATTATTTCTTTGAAAACTCGGTAGAGGATGTTGATTTTTTGTTCAAGATCATTCTTATACTATGAGTACCTATGCCATCAGCATAGCATCCCTCATCATCAGAACATTGACATCGAAAGGGAAAGCTTACAGCTATATCACGTTAAAACACCGGTTCGAGTATGATCAATGTAGTTAAGCAACGTCGAGCCTGGTCAGTACCTAGATGAGTGACCGTTTGGAAATACCAAGTGCTGTAAGCTTGGATGTGCGAGTGGTGTAGTGAATAATAGCTCGAAATTGTTAATCGGAGAGCCGAGTTCCAATTCCAATTGAGTTCTTTAAGAGCAAATACTCTTAGGAAAAGCATGATTTCACCTCCTCCCCCGCCAGCTATGGATTAATTACTAAGACTTGTATCAATAAATCATTATTATCTCCAGAAACTTAGGATCTAAAAATATTTTCTGACTTTAAATAACCTGCAAAGGGTTGATAAACCGTAAAAACGAATCAACCTATCAATCGGAAGGGAAAGTAGGATCTTTGTCTTCTATTAATAGATTTGTTTGGGATGTGGTATGGAATGCTTAAATAGTGATTGCCCATCTCTCCACAGCTTTATTTGTATATGTTTAGCGAATAGTCTTGGAAAAGATTAAATATACTGGACCTCTTTTAATGGAAAAGAGTGGTGAGAAAGAGGAAGGTAACATAATTATTTTCTTCAGTTAAGTAATAACTTTTAATTTTGGGAGACGTATAAAGATGCAATGACCAAAATTTACCAAGAGAGAATTGGAAAATGATGGTACCTCTTCCATGAATATAACAAATAATATAATTTTCACAGCCTGTTCCGACAGTATTATTGTTAAGCGTTATCACCCCATGCAAGGCAGTGAAGCCACTAAGACACAAGGGCTTACAGGGTGTGGAAGAATTAGGAACAGAAACATTAATAATGAGCAGTAAGAGGAATGAGTAATCTGGAGCACAGTAGATAGCGATTTACACTGCATTTAAATTTTTGAAGATTAAAGTTGGCTAGAAAGCATGGATCCAGAAGGGAGTTTCACAAGCGAGAAGTACGAGAAAAAAAAACTGTTAGCATAGAATTTACGGTTATATCTCGCCATCTCAATTGTAAATTGGTGGGATCTTGACGCCAGTATAGTACTGTGCTTAAATTCAAAAAGTCAGGTACCATAGCAAGGCCTAGGTACAATTCGAATAATTACTATGAAAATATTTATAGAAAAGGCACAGAGAGGCAACCTTACCGTGATGGAAAAAAACTGAAGCCACGCCACCAGAACAGAACCAATAATATTGCTGATTCTTCTTTGGATTTTATTAATGCGCACAAGGTAAATAGCAGGAGCACCGGATCATATGTAGCAGCAATATTCTAAGCATGGACGAATGGTAGACTTATAGATATGTAAGATAAGATTTTGGAGAGAAAAATTGTCTCGCACGATACAATGAACCCACTTTCTTAGCAGCTGAATCCAATATAGTCTTTCCACTTCATGTCAGCTGAAAACATTAGCTCGAAAAGGCGCAGCAAGTCACTTTCCCGGAGTTTAGTATCAGTCATGTTGATGCAAAGCAGAGAAGGGTCTCCTACATGATTAATGGAGAGAATTTCAGTTTTGGAGGCGTTAAAATGAACAAGCCATCTTTTGCCTCACTTAACGACTATTATAATAAGGGTGTTCCAATAACTTGGGCCGATTTTGAATGTGAATTAAGTTTAAGCGTCTAATGATTTTTTTTCTTTCTTTCTGATTTAACAACTTAAATCTTTGGCAATTTCAACCATGGTAAAATTAGCAATCAAACAAAGTGTTAAATTTATCGAATCCTATTACGAAAATGGACGTACAAAAAGAAATGCAATGAGAAGTTCCCAGGTCGTATCATCTCTCGAAATAGCGAAGTCAATTATCGTGCGATCGTGCGACTTGACGTCTTTAGATTTCATCATTTGGGGTCACCTCAAAAGTAAGGTCTATGCCAACACGCCAGCAGCAACTCGACAGCTGAAGGATGAGATAATAAGGCATATTGGTGAAATCGAGGAGCAATTATGCAGAGACGTCATCAAATATTTTGACCATCGAGTGGAGGTGTGCCGCCGAAGCCTTGGCGGACATTTGAGCGATATTATTTTTCACACATAATTGTCATGACTTAAATAACATGATCCAATAGAGAAATAAAGCAATTTTCACCAATAACACTGATTTATTTACAACTGACTTTGATCCGTCTTAATGAAACATCCTTTATTATATTATATTATATGATATTATATTATTTCTCGGGTTTCTATAAATTTCCAGGTTTAAAAAAAAAACATGGAATTCCCCCGGGTACTACTAGCCGATATTATGATTGAAGATGATGAGATTAATGCAACTGTTATCATTGGCGATGGTAACGGCAGCTTTTAAAATGTTTATGTTGGTAGTTGATGTGTTGGTGTGGTTCGACGTTCATCCCATCTCTTTCTTTCCCTCTCCTTCAACTGGACCAGTTATCTCCCTGACTCTGTTTTTCTTAGTCTCGTATCTTCTTTCCGTCTTGTCATCCATAATTTGTCTTGCAAATGGACGCCAAAGAAAATTACGTACCAAATAATGGCGTCTTTTCAGTCAATAACAAAATAATTATCATGCGCCTTTCAACTTTCGTTTTCGCAAGAGTTTCGTGTCTTCTAATAGATTTTCAGAAAAAAAAATTTCTTATGACATCAAAAGTGAAAAAACGAATTTAAAGTAACGTCAGAATACAAGATACAATACAAAGATATATCTGTAAACTGCAAGACTTCAAATGCTGGGCTTGAAAGAAGAAAAAACCCTAGATATGAGGTGTATTCTAGCAGTTCTGGGATTCTTATAGCAGAGACAGTCTTAGATTAATGGCATTTTAGTATCAGTTATGTGCCATCCGTGATACACGCTTAGGCGATCGTGTATCTTTGGATACATGACTGACGAGGCAGCTTTTTTCCCGCAGTAGGTTGCCATTTCTTTCTGCAGTAGACCAGTTGCCATCCAAAGCTATAGAATCTGGCCTGTCCTACTATTTACCCATAGATGGGAGAAGACGATGATTCAAACCTTTCCCAGGTGTATTTAGCATGTAAGTAAACGTAATGAATACGACTGGAATTCGAACTCGGCTCACAGATTCCTCCGAGCCGCTATCCATTACTTCAGGCTGGCCTGCCAGCTTTTGTTATTTTGGATTGAAGGATACGGCTGTAAGAGTAGGGCAGGTTGATTTTTCACTTTCTTTAGAAAACCAACATTGCATAATCACTGACAAAACCAAAATATATATATATATATATATATATATATATATATATATATATATATATATATATATATATATATATATATATATATATATATACAGCTCTAGCAATTACTGAGCATTTAGTTTTAAAGATTGTCTGGGAAAATGTACAGAAATACTGAATTTCCCGCGTTTTTGCTTACAAACTGGGCTAAAAACTTTACTATTTCAAGAATAAATAATCCGAGTAAAGTTGATATTTCTTTATATTAGATACAATGAATGCAAAATATATTCAAACCAGCATCCTGATTATGAATCAGCACAAGCAAAATATGCAGTTCTTTATTGTATTCGATAAGTAAAAAGTGTGTAAATATTGTAAAAGATTACAAAAACGGCTACTCATTAATTAAGATCTTTTACCATCTGTCAGGTCATAATTAATCAAAACACAAAATAGATTAAGTGTATATAACACCATAATAGTGTTGGGCACAAATTATAAGACAATATGTTTTAAATTTGCATTGTTTATTGAAAACAGCACTGAAACTACTGCACTGTATAACATATTACATCATTATATATCTAAAGTGTTCAGTATAATTTCTCTTGAAATAAATGAAGATCTAATTTGATGGTACAATGATTTAGTAATAATGTGCTTGTACCTCGCTACTTGTCTATATACAGTTTGCAAAACTTCAAGTAATTACAAATTTTATAAGGATGTGCTATAAAACTTTCACTGATCACCGGAATGAAATTCCAGCGCTACGTTTTTGAGCCTAAGCTTAAAATTTAAGCTCATTCTCTCAAAAAATGGTAACGATATGGAACAAAAATAGTGTCATTATTTATGATGCTGAACCCCAACTTTCAAATTGAATGCAATACCACGCTTCCAAAATCTACCTGTCCTAATGCAGCAGTTCTTTGAATATATCCTACTACTAAACGCTATTTGTCACATTTGGCTAGTTTGCAGAATGCACTTGGGTCCTGAATACAATTTGGAAGCTCGCTATGCAATAAGTTCTGCGTTGACAGAGATGGGCATCAAAACTGTGATTCACTCTTTACGTCCCTGTTACTTTTGGTTGCTCCCCAAGCTAAAGGAGAACCTCGGGGGCAGCCGTTTTGAAGACATTGAGAAAATGGAGACTGTGACAAGAGTCATGTATACCTTCACAATGGATGACTTCTATGGGGTCTTCACGTAGTGTCTGGAGCGTTACAAGTTAGAGGATCCTACTTTGAAGGAGATTAGAGTTTTGCATTTCTTTAAAATTAATAAACATCTCTCCTGAAAAAGTCTGAACTCTTCTGGAAAGCACCTCATAATTGGAAGACCGAAGTAAAAAGAATCCATCATATATATATATATATATATATATATATATATATATATATATATATATATATATATAGCGCTCAAGAATTAACAAGGATAGTATATGTCTATAAAACCGGAAGTCAAAATGGCTGCAATTGAAAGAAAAGAGGGAAAAGAGAGAAAATTTTGAGTGAGTGCAAAGCGAAAAAATGATTAAAAAAAAAAAGATTACACGACATTCTATACGTACGCACATACGCGTAGACAGTATATATATATATATATATATATATATATATATATATATATATATATATATATATATATATATGAGATAATGATAAATTTACATATCAAGAAACAGTATTAGGGAAATTAGATGATAAAGTGGAAAAAATTTACTTGTGAGCCGTTTTTCGTCCTTAAGCGTCACAATTAAACTTTTTCCACTTTACATACAATTTCCTATATATATATATATATATATATATATATATATATATATATATATATATATATATATATATATATATATATATAAGATAAGGTATTATGATTATTTACGTTATTTACATTATTAGGACTGTTATCTCATCTTCATTGCCAT